AGTTTTTAATCTGGTGGATTAAGATTTATTTTAGTGTCTTCTTATGTTCTTGCATAAACTAACAAGAAAGCTTTTGCTCTCCACCCACCCACACAAATTTCAACAATTTTCTATATATGTTCAAATCGAAACTGACCTTGGAATGATATTCATTTGTAAGATAGTTGCTTTTCCTAATTATAATATTTCCAAAGCAATTTCTATTAATGACTAAAGATTAAGTCTAAATAGGTCATTTTTATCAGATGACAGAGAAGTCTTGACTTTTTAGAAGTTTTCTCAGCATATTTTAGTTCCCTACTGGCTACCACTAACAAGGAAGTCATTGATTTTTTACAAGTATTAGACATTGAACAGTCTGTCTTCTGAGATAATACCATGCTCCTTAATATAGTTAAAGGCCACTGAAATTAAGTTTTAAAAAATAGATTGTGCAAATCAGATTGTGCAAATTTAACCTAATTTTAAAATGACCATCTTGATGAATGAAATTTCAACAGAAGATCTAATATGAATCTTATGAAACAGAAAAGGGGAAAATGGATGACCTGGCCCACCAACTTAACTTAGGGAAACTCTGCTAATTAATTAGTGCCCTGCAAAATGTCCTGCATAATATAAGAAGATTGTATAAGGATAGAAAATCCCTTTTTAAAAAATAATACGAATTTGGGAGAAGTATAGGAAAAAATTTATGCCAGCCACCTCACCAATAACTTCAGTTACAGAGCTTAGAGGATTTCCAGAAAATTTGAGGGATAGTTTAGGAAAGCTATTAAAAGAAAAACAAATATTTACAGTAAAAGATTGGATGGAGAAAATGGATATGGAAAGGATAAAGGCATTATTTGGAAAAGGAAAATTAACTTGGTTTAAGGCAGGGTTCTCAAACTCGTGGCCCGTGGGCCAAGTGCCAGGACGGGCGGGCACGGGGGAGGGGCCCTGTGGCCTTCAAAGCACTGGCGGCGCCCGGGCCGGCCTCCGGATGAGCGGCCCACCACCACCGCGGAGGTGGAATACTTGATGCGGCCCAGCCTCACCCAGACTCTACTTCCAGCGGCCCCCAGGTAAGTTGAGTTTGAGACCCCTGCTTTAATGTTATGCAATTGGAACTATGGACTAGAGCAGGGGTCCTCAAACTTTTTCAACAGGGGGCCAGTTGAAAGGTGCCAGTGGTGGGCATAGGCTACCAAGGTGGTGCCGGTGGGGGGTAGGGGAAGGGGGTGGGGGGCATGCACGGTGAGGCAGAAGCTAGCTTGTGCAGAGATTATTTTCTCCGAGCGAGTCCAAAACTATCTCCCCATGAGCAAGCCACCACCTTGCCATCTCCCTGCCTCGCTGCATGTGTGACAAGTCCAAAACCACTGAGGAGGGCCAGATAAATGGGCATGGCGAGCCAGATCCGGCCCATGGGCCATAGGTTGAGGACCCATGGACTAGAGAATGGTTGCAGAAAAATGGTAAGTGTAGAAATCTTACCAAATTTGGGGAGATTGTGATGAATAGGGAGATGCAAGGCAGAATGCAAACAAGGGGGAATCATATGGGAGATATATAAGATTTTATCAGACAGGGGAGATATATATGATCTTTTAGAAATATAATGAGAAATGGATTTAGGGTACAATATAGACAAGAATGATTGGGGAGAAATATGGGTTAAGCAAATATTAAAAAGTATGTCAATTAGAATTAAGTATTTTTAATATAAAGTAGTATAAAATGGTGTATGACTCTGGTTAAATTATTTTATATGGATAGTAAATATTCTAATTTATGTTGGAGATGTGGACAAAATACAGATACCTATTTCCAGATGTGGCAGGAATGTGAAAACATTAAAAAGTTTTAGTTAAAGACTTTTAAGGAGATGAGTAAGATTGAATTTAAAAATTGAAGTGGATCCTGAAATAGCATTGTTGCTAATTTTTTTCTGTAAAAAGCAATGGAAATGGAATATTAGAGAATTAATAATAAATTTGGTAACCTCAGCAAAATTGTTAATAGCAAAGAATTGGAAGGAGAAGGGGGATCTCCAATTAACTGAATGGTGTAAAGACTTTAGGAATATAGTAGTCAGTGACAAGTTGACATGTGAGATAAGGGTGTAAAAAGGATTGGAAAAGAAGAATGTTTATACTAATATATGGGGTAAGTTTATTGAATCTGTATTAATAAAAGGGAAGGGTAATAAACCCTCAAAGGATGTATTGCTAGTTCGAATAGAAGGAGGTATCTTGGAATGAGCGGGGGGTAAAAAACCTAGGTAGCCATGGTGCCAGTGGAGGGGTACATTAAGCTTTTTAAAAAAGCTAGATTTTGTGTACTGAGTGTTTTTACTTTTTTATATATTTTTTCTAATTGTATTTTAAAGAACATTTTTTTAAAAAAATGCCCTGTCCTTAACAGTCCTGCTCGGTTCTTGTAAACTCAAGGCTGTAGTTTCCTTATGGAATTGATCTCTCCCATAGTTGGATTTCCTCTTCTTCTGTCTTTAATTTTCCCTAGCATTATTGTTTTCTCCAAATAGTCTTGCCTTCTCATGACGTGCTCAAAGTATGATATCCATTAATCAGATTAGCTGTTCTTCCAGTGCCAACAGCAAGTAACTGTCTAGATATACATCCTAATCAAATGGGATACATTTGTTAGCAATCTATTTTGGCTAGAACTCACTGGGGCTCGCTTCTAAATAGGCAAGTACAAGATCGTATTGCTGGTCTTCCTGATATAAAGAATCCACAAGCTTCTAATGAAGATAGATGCTATGTGAAGAAACCAATGAGGCACCTTCCTACTTTAAGAATTAGTGCACTTTTTGCTTCATTCCATGCGATTGGTGTTTTAGATGATATAATCGCTTTTGCAAATAGAGTGTTTAGCTTGGAGAACTAAACATCAGATAAAGTCTTGTGAAATTCTGCGGGGAGACCATCTGGGGCCATAGATTTAATTAGACTAAATAGAGATTTAGGGCGTTATCCTGTGGCTGATAGACAGAATCCAGATGGCTAGGAAGCTTCAGCATCCCGGCTCAACCCAGCTTGCACCCCCCCCCCCCCCGCAAGACACAGTGGAGAGTTTGAATTTAGAGCTTCGTCCCTCCACACTCACAGCACTGGCTGCAGCTCCAGGGTTGCAAGGCTGGCTTTGGAAGTGGCGCTGGTGAGAGGTGTTCTGAGGGGTGAAAGAGGGGAATCAAACCCCATGTACAGTGTATTCCAGCAGTAACTCAGCTGTCTTCCTTTCAAGCTGATGCAAAATTGCCCATCTAAGTCCTTTGCAAGGGAGGAGAATCATGGAAGTGACCATCACCTTGATGTTCCTCTTATCCTGTAATCCAGACTAAATACAGATCTGACTAAACAAAGATTCAATAATCATTAAGTTTCATTAAACTGCAAACAAAATACAACCCTAAAAATAAAAGTACAGTAATAAAATGCAGTACTGCAATACAATTTTAAAACTGAAAATGCAACACTAAAAAACCAAAAATGCCTGATTTGCAGTATAGATGCATACATAAAGTATCCAGTTGCCCTTCAGAACTTGTTAGTCCTAGATATCCTCTTACTTGCTCCCAAAAGACCCTAGATGCCAGGAAACTATCTAATGCCCTCTCAAAGAACAGAACAAGGGGATATTCCAACTATAAATATCTTCCCCAAGCGACCGAACTAGTTTCTCCTTGCTACAGAACTCTTTCTAAATAGATGCCCCAGCGCACGCTTCAGATCTCCCAGCATCTCATGCATAGAGCAAATAGATGGTAGGGGGAAATAGGATCACATCTCCTGGCCCATTCAGTACCCTGGGTGCTTAGTAGAACAGGGATGCTGGAACTCTTCCAGCCTGGGGTCCAAATTCCATTCCAGAGACGCTCCTTGGAGTCACCGTCCAGTCTTAGATTGATCTACCTCCTAACAGGTGAAGTTAAAAATACCTAAAATACCAGCATATTCAACTTAAGTGCTGCCACCAATTAACCCATAAGAGAGGTATTTCAAACTAGAATGGAGGAACCCATACAAAATCCAAAAAAATCACCTGACGATTGATGGTTGGAGAAAAGAGAGTAGGTTGTGTGGCCATTTGAGAAGTTCTGGTGGGCCAGAGTTGGTTCCCAGACCTGCAACAGAAGGTGGTAATGGAGCTGGACAAGTGCAGCCCATGAGACTGAGAATACTAATTGCACAGGGTTCCTTCTCACATTAACGATCCTTTGTATGCACAGCTGAATGTGCACAGCTGCTGAAAGCCCCTTCTCTCCCCCGATCGAACACACAGAGGTTGAGGTCCAGGCAAGCTGGCTGCATCCTGCTCCAGTTGCGTGCATTTGCTCTACACATGGAATGGGAGGCAAGAATAGGGGGGTGCATTGGCCTCTGACACTGGCTCTCAGGAGCCTTGCCCCATAAGGACTTGACCTTATAGCTGCATCATTAGGATGCATCCACGCTAGAAGGCTAAAGGGTCTGGCACCCATGTCTCCCTCAGACTTAAAAAGAATCCCGAAAACACCAGGTCAGGGCAGCAACTTCAAAAAGAGGAATTGTGTCAATACAAAAACCGTTGATGCTTTAAAACAGTTTAGAATTGGACTGTAGATCTGTTCTGAAGTTATGTTCCTAATACAGAAGAACTCTAGAGCAAGAAGTTGAAAAAAACAACATTTTCTGCACCCAGTCAACTTGCCGTCAGTATGACTATGCTGTTAGGACTCAGTTCGGCAAAGCTGGGCTGCCACCTGGAGGGCCTCAGGTGCGTTGGAGCATGTTGGTAAGCCCTTTAACACACTGGTTTCATGGGCACATCTACTTCTCTATAGATTGTACCACTTGCTCTCCCCCTTTCTGCCTGCAAAATAGGAATCCCTGTATGCATCTATTTATGGCCAGTTAGAACTCTGGTTTTTGTTGATGACCTGTTGGATGACTTTGCCGGGAATTACGTGCGTGTGTGTAAAAGGCACGTCGTGGCGTCTCTGTTTTCCACAGTTCCGCATGAGCCGAAGGGAGGGAGGATGCTGCTGATCGCAATCCTCGGCTCCGCAGGGATGACGTGCTTGACGATCCTGCTGGCCTTTTTCATTATGCTGCAGCTGAAGCGTGCCAACTTCCAGCGGCGAATGGCCCAGGCCTTCCAAAACGTGGTGGTGAGTCCACTGGCCTTCATAGAGCAGCCTGGGTCCCTCCTGATCTGTTGGACTAGAACTCCCATCATCACAGCTGGGAATGATGGGAGATGGAGTCCAGCATATTTTGAGCGCTCCAGTCTAGGGAATGTTGACTTAGAGCAGGGCTGTGCAGACTTTTGGCCCTGTGGGCTGCATCAGGTGGCTGCTGGTGGGGACGGGACACATGTATACATATGTGTAGACACATCCGCATGTTCATGCAAGGTACAGCGCCCCTCTCTCACACACGGATGCCACTTGCCCACTCAATGCAGCATTTGCCCATCAGCATTTCAAGGCAGGCACCTGCTTCAGTCAGACAAAATGGCACTCCTGCCAGAAATGTCTGTTCTCAACACCGAGCCATCCAGGAATCCTGGCCTTCTCTAATCCACTCTCTTGGAGGATCCTGACTCCCATTCTCAATTACCAGGATCCTTCTCAGAAAAAGGGGGAATGTTTTAGGAAAGACTGTACAGTTCCTGCCATAGAAGCTCTGTTGCTAACAGGCAGGTACCTTCAAGAACAATTTCCTAGGATGCTTCAGGAACACAGTTTATGGGGCACAAACTATGGAGAATTTTTTCTCTTTTCTTCCCCCTGGATATTTTCTAGGCCTGCAGGTTGCACTTCTTGGCCTTTGTCCTAGAGGATATATGGCAATGAAATAAAAAGCAGGCCATCCCAGTTCAAATACAACTTGACTAATTCAGTAACAGCAATCCATGTACTTGGCAATCTTCGTCTACATGTGATTTTCACAGAAGAGAACTAAAGAGCTGTTATTAAAAAAACAAAACAAAACTTAAAGGTGTGATAATAGTGATCAGGAATGGCTTATTATCACATCCTTAATCCTGCAATGTAGGTTTATTTAATTCTTGGACCACCTGTCCAATTAAATCACGGACATGTTTAAGGCTACTTTTAAATTGAGGGAAAGCAGCTCATTGAAAAAAATAACTTATGACATTTCTTTCTTTGCAATATTTTATATCATGCAGAAACACATCTCCCCAAACATCTGCATAAATGCATTTTCAATATATTCCTTTCCCTGTTGTATCTTCGGTACATTCTCTGAATACTTAAGTTGTCCCGTACTTAACTTTTTTTAACAGAGAGATGAACCAGCAGTGCAATTCAATTCTGGAACTCTTACCCTGAACCGGAAAGCCAAAAATAGTCCAGATTCAACTATTTACCCAGTTCTGGAGTGGAATGACATCAAATTTCAGGACGTGATTGGAGAGGGCAACTTTGGCCAAGTGCTGAAAGCACGAATCAAGAAAGATGGATTACGAATGGATGCCGCCATCAAAAGGATGAAGGGTGAGTGCATCAGCGGGCGGGGAGGTGGGGGGATCTATAGGAGACAGGTGCATATGGCTCATGCTTGTCATTGCAGGATCTCTCTGGGCTCTTTGGCATGGGCTTAAGGGCTAACCTCATACTATAACATGCTGCTTGCTTTTCTGCTCCCTAAGAAAAGCAGCAGAAGACTTGCAGGGAGAAACAGAAAGACTGGGGTGTACCCATCCCGTTTCCTACCCTACATTTCTCTGTTTGCAGGTTTTCTCCATATCGGGTTCACCAAGTGACCAACATGCATTCTAAACCCAGTTTGCGGGGAAGGGAGTACACAGGGCAGGGTCATTTGGACTACAGAAATAATTGGTGGAGAAAGGGTTAAGCAACCTCTTCCCTGCAGTACATACCTTCCCAGCTTCTCCCCAGCTGCTTCCTTTTTGTTTTGTTTTTTGCTTTGGTATCCAGGCTCCCTTCCATGGTGGTTGGCATCTGGGACGGGGGACCAAAGGCACAATCCTACGCATATTTAGACAGAAAAAATCTCCTACAACTCCCCAAGACGGCTGGCCAGGGAATGCTGGGAGCTGGAGAGCTTTTTTCCCTGCCTAACCCAGCATAGAATTGTCCCTAAACCAGTTTAACAGTACTTTGTTTTTAGAGAGCTATGACTCAGTCTATAAAATAGGCTTCTGCCTTAATATGTCCTACAAATATAGATCAGTTGCTCTGAAACAACCCACGTAATTCTATAAGCAAAGGCTTACTTCTCCAGGTCAATGGAAGCATTCCTCCTGGAAGTTGCTCGGCCTTTGCTAATTGTCCTAATGACAACAGCAATATGACTGCAGGGCCGATTTCGTGATGTCCCATTAGGGGAAGGGCTGTGGCTCTGGCAGGATCCATGCATTGCATGCAGAAGGCCCCACATTCAGTGCCAGGCATCTCTAGGGGAAAGCTAGGAAACGGCCCATCTGGAACCATACTAGTTAGTGTAAATAACTCTATACTAAAGAGACCAATAGTCCAACATGGGATAAGGCGGCTTCTAATGCCTCTGTGCAGGCAAATAAGCGCTGCCCCCCTTTCTGCGAACAAATGTATGGAAGAGCATTTGCATGGGAAAGGGCCACGAAATTAACCCCAGCGACATGGTCTTTTCATGCACAAGTTCCAGGGGGCAGCACTGGAATGCAGGTTTTGCAGTGCTGTGCAACCTTGTGAAATATCCAGAGAAGACAACTTACTTGTACATGTGAAGGTGAGGGGTTGATTGGTACATGCATTAACTTTTCTAAATTTCCTAATTTATTTAAATCTGTCCTTCCTATATAAGAATGGAACTCGTGGCAGCTAAAAATAAAATAGAGATTAAAAACACAGTTTCAGTTAAAGCATGTTTTTAATTTGTCTGTTTATTTTTAATCTCATCTATGTATGTATCATCAAGTTAGTTGCTAAGGCGTCAACCGTAGACAGTCACTTGGAAGCCCAGCTCATGGAATACAGTCGGATTTTATTTTTAATCATTTATGCTTCCCATAGGCATAAAGAAACTGGAAATTCTCTAGGCAACTGACAGTGTAAGAGCAAGGAAGCAAGTGTGCACAGGAACACAGAGCAGACTTACTAAGCATTGCAGCCTTCACTATACGCATCACAAACATTGCAGGATTAACTAAATGCAGTGGAGATTAATGCAAAATATTGCTTGCAGAATACGCCTCCAAGGACGATCACAGAGATTTTGCGGGAGAACTGGAAGTACTTTGCAAGCTTGGACATCATCCCAACATCATAAATCTTTTGGGGGCATGTGAACATCGAGGTACGCTGCTTTTCTCTGGATACTTTGTAAACAGTTTGAGGGACATGAGTTGGGATTTGTGCAGCATTAATACACACATTTATTTCCCATATACAGTTTCTCCAAGAAAAAGTCTTGTAGCACTTTAAAGACTGACAAATTTGTTATGGCATACAAGAATGTGGGAGCTGTCCATCTCATCAAATTGCTCTAATGTGTTTATTAGTCTTTAAGGTGTCGCAAGACACACCTTTCCTAAAGATCTGACTCCAGAGATAGTTCTGTGCTTCTGAAAACTCACAGTTCTTCCACGAACACGTTTGAGTTGATGGTGCTGCCTAGTGTGTGGAGAAGGGGTTCGCTGCCCTTATACAAGATACACGGACATTATGGATGCTGTTGGCAATTTTCATAGAGCAGCTCGAGGCAAAGGACCTTGCCCCTTTCTACAGCAGAGGCCGGGCCTTGGAAAACATGCGAGGGAGAGAATAGGGGAGGGCAGAAGCCCTTGCATGATCCATCCTTCTGGAGGGATAGGGCAAAGCGTGGCATTTGGGGCCGGGGTGAGGGACAGAGCTCATGCTCTGAGGCCCACAAGTCCTCCCAGGAACCCAGCCCACAGGAGTTCTCACTTTGGAAGGCTCATGTTTTTTGCACAGGTCATCTGAAGACCTCCTCTGTGTTTTATGCCAGGCTACCTCTACCTCGCGATTGAATACGCGCCCCATGGAAACTTGCTAGACTTTCTGCGGAAGAGCCGAGTCCTTGAGACTGATCCGGCTTTTGCCATTGCCAACAGCACGGCCTCCACACTTTCCTCCCAACAGCTCCTGCACTTTGCAGCAGATGTGGCCAGAGGAATGGACTACCTGAGCCAGAAACAGGTCAGCTTTTGTTCTCGTCGTTTTCTGATGGGAGGCGAGCTCCCGAGTCACAACATCTCGCGCGTTAGTGCTGGTGGCTAGTGCCCCACTGCTGCTCAGCCCGCCACTTGTCTGATAGTTTGGTCCTGGAACTTCTGAAGTACGAGCCGATGAAACAGGTGCCCTTGTACAGGTGTAGCAAGACTTCTTCTGCCACTTCAGAGCCGGTACTGCAAACACACCTCTATCACCATTTAGAAATCAGGGCTTCTAGTTTAGGGGTGATATTTCCATACAGTCAGCAGGGAAGCGGCAGGTTGCCTGGTTATAAGGAACACACTGAGACAGCCCAAAGTGACTGATACTTAAGTCATGGAGACTTGCACTTAGTTTTAAAAATATATTGTTCATACTGTTATAGAAATGTTTTCTTTTTAGTGGTTTCTTAGTTTCTGGAATAGGTTGGCAGTATTGCAACCTATAAGCCAGCCTTCCCCATCTCTAGGTGATTTGGACTACAGTTCCCATTAGCCCCAGTCAGCATGGCCAATGGTCAGGAATTCTGGAAGCTGTAGCCAAAAACATTTGAAGGACCCATTTAGGAAAGGCTGCTACATACTAAGAGCAAACTTATTCTTTGGGAATTACCAAAATGGCACTGCCCATGCACAAGAAACAGAATTGGGAGGATTACAATATTTCCAGAGGCAGAAAAATCTTTAGAAAGGGGGCAAAAAAGCTTAAAGGTGGGAGAAACAATTCAGTGAGGACTGAGCTTGTTCACTGGGCATGAAATGTTTGCTCATTGTGGAGGAGAAGAAACTGGGAGTAGGGAATGGAACGGAGTATCCTGAAAGAAAGTGTGTTGGGCTGGCTGGCTAGAACCCTAAACAGAAGCACCCCACACTGGGACATTTTGTGAAATATGTGACAAAATCTAAGAGCCAGGACTTACAATGTGAATTTTTGTTCTCACAGTTTATCCACCGGGATCTGGCAGCAAGAAACATCTTGGTTGGAGAAAATTATGTTGCAAAAATAGCAGACTTTGGGTTGTCTAGAGGCCAAGAGGTTTATGTTAAAAAGACCATGGTAAGGAAGGACCAAAAGAAACATTCAGACAAAACTATGTTTCCTATGCAGAGGTGCACCACTGTATTGTAGCATTCTCTGTATCACTACTTGTACAAATGACATTCTTCTTGAGAAATGACAAGCCTTAAATGTCTAATTTTCTTTACTACAGCTTGCAACAAGACAAAGTCTGAAGCCTCACAGAAACTAGTAGCACTTACTAAAACCCTCTTCCTTCAAGTATATAGGACAGAGGAGTTAGGCAGTGGTTCTCAGCAGATATGAAGTGTGAGAATTTAAATACACAACTGTTCCAAATAATAGAATTTCTGATGTCAGAGTTTTTGTATTCCCTTGAAGTTCAAAGGGGTCTCATCTCCTGTTCAGGAGAAAAATCAAAGTACAAAGTTGACAGTGGCTCATCTTGTACAGATGGGAAACCTTTCAGCAGCATCACTCTGGGTGCACACTGGATTTTCTGGTCATGTAAAGCGGAATGGGGGAAGTTCTCATTCATGTGAATGAAGGAAGAATATCCCGCTACACAACGGTGCACAGGTGGAGGTGCCGTCTTCATCAAAATGCATGGAGAAGCCATTTTTCATGCACAAATGGAGCATTTTGATCATATTACCAGAGCAGTCGGTAACATCATTCTAATCTCATCATTTTAGGGAAGGCTTCCTGTGCGATGGATGGCTATTGAATCCCTCAACTACAGCGTGTACACCACAAACAGTGATGTGTGAGTTGTTATATCAATACCGCTCTCTAGCCCTTTGGTTCATTTATAACAGGAATGCAGAACTTTTCCAGGTGAGGGACCAAATTGCCCCATCAGGCCCTCAGTGGGTACAACCACACCATCATTTCCTCATCCCCTGTTGACTTCTCTCCCCCCCCCCCCCCCCCCCATGTGGAGAAGGAAGGGCATGCAGTTCTGTGCTTTCTCCAGACCGGAAAACGTAACTCCTCCACCAGCACCAGAAAAGGCCATGCCAAGAAGTCCCCCCAAGGCCAGCATCCTTGATTTGGGATCAGAAATAACAGCAGGGATGAATTCTTCCAGGAGGCAAGCCTTGCTTACTGGGACACATTGTCTGGAATTGAGCACACGGATAGACCTCTGAGAAAGAGAACTTTTGAAGTGGCTGTGATTACACATGTCCGGGATTCTTCTCACCTGTGCTGCCCTGTTGATGCTAACTTTTGCGATCCAGAAACTTGAAGGCTTTCACATTTGGATAAAAGCATACATGGGAAGGGGGTGGTCTTTGTAGGACACCCAGCTGGACATCCACCTTGAGCAGTCAGGCGATACACATGGTCCTCTGCATTGGCTGGGGGACAGCCAATGAGGTCCTTGTGGATGCAGAAGGTGGCTGTACGTCAGCTCAGGGGAACGTGACACTTTGGTGCACAATGTATGTCAGCTCTCACCCTGAAAAGATTCCAGCTCCAATCTGTTTCCCATTCATTTCTTTGATGAAGGTGATCTTTAGATGTCATTAGGTTCTGATTCACATTTGAAAATGGTGCTTAAAATACTGCAAAAATTAAATGCTCTGGGACATTCTGAAGGATTTGACCACCAGCCATCCTTATTCAACAGAAAGTGTCATTTTCTTTCTGAGTAGAATCAGTGTGGACCTGGTAGTTAATTTGAAAAGAGCATTTTTCTCCTTTTCGCAATCTTATGGTACCTTATCTATTGTTTTGTGTACCGTCCTTTTTTTCTAATAAAGTGAGGAGCAAAATCAATAGTTTTCTAAAGGTTTAAGTACCTTTAGATTTCAGATATACTTCTAGATTCAAGTGTTGTTCTTATAGTTCTATTATAATGCACAATTCTTCTAAATACAATTAATGATCTAGCATCATAGTTTTCTTTTAATTCTGCTTGCAGGTGGTCATATGGTGTGCTACTGTGGGAAATAGTTAGCTTAGGTAAGTATCCATTTTTAGAATTTTGATTTCGTTAAGAATATAAGGAAGACATGGCTGACCATGCTCCTTCAAATCTAGAATTATCCTAAAATCACCCGAGCAGTTCATGAAAGTGAGAATGTACTTTTCGCATTCTACTCAGAGACACGTTGACCTGAACATGGAGCTTCCACCAACTGCTACAAATGAATTTATCCTCCATAATTTTCATTTAATGCTTTGGAAAATGCCAATTTAATTAATTAATTAATAATTAATTATATTTATCTCCAGGGAGGCTTACATAATTCTGCTCCTCAATCTTATCACAACAGTAATCCTGGGAAGTAGGTTGGGCTGAGAGTCACTGACCGGCCCAAGTCACCCAGTGCGCTCCATGGTCAAGTGGGGACAAGAACTCAGGTCTCTTGAGCCCAATCCTATACACACATCTGTAAGCATGTCTTCTGGTACGCAAACTCAGAATAAGCCACCATGGGTTGGTTGCTGGCTTGCTAACCCGTTAGACATTTGGGAGCTCTATGCTTTGCCATGGTTTGTTGAACTCCTGTCTCCCCAACCCTTCCACTGGCTCCCATGACATAGCCCAGGGATATTTGCGTACACTTTCCACAGCTGCTGTGTTAAAATTGGTCCCACTCCCTACATCAGATCACCAAAAGAAATTGATTTTCTCGGCCCCTATGAACATTTGAATGTATTCGCATTTTTGTCTCAAAATGGGGGCTTGCCTCAGACCAGCTGCCCACTATTTAGCTCAGTATGCTAGCATCCCCCTCTTGTTAATGTCTTGGTTAATTTCATCTGCTCTTTTGCTGCTTCCCTGGCTAGCAAACACTCTTTTGGGGGATGGGGTGGTATAGAAATGTAATCAATAAACAAACAGGTACAATAAAGATTCTTCTCCTGCAACTGCCAGTCAATTTTGGCTCCCCATCTCCTTTCCCTCCACATGTCTTCACTGCT